AAAGCATTTATCCTTAAAAAGTCGGGTTCGCGGTTTGTGAACGTTCCCCTGTGAAATTAATATTGACATATCTCTGTGTCCCAGTCCTAATATTTGTCTTGTCCGAGATTCATTTACAAACACTAAGCGTCCTAATAATGACTCCACTAGCGCTTTGGGCCTCGAAACAGAAATCGCAGCCCTTTGTAAAACCGGATATGGTGGGCAAAAATAAACTTACTGGTAACATTTTGCCTGTCCGAGGGAACATTCTGCGTATTGGCCAGGTGCAAGTCTTTTTTATTCAGGTCTGCTGTTTGGTTCTGCTCGTTATTCTAGATTCCCCAAAGTTTTATTGAGGGAAAATTTAGCTTCATGCAGGGCTTATTATGCCGACCGCTTTTAAACGCCTTATTTTGTTTGTCAACCTTGTGTGCTTATTTCAGAATTTTTTTCCGGTTTATAGAATGATTGATCCAGCGAAGGAACCGGTGTTTCTACTAGCTGCTACTCTCCGACCCGAGACTATGTACGGCCAGACCAATTGTTGGCTTCATCCCACTATCGAGTACGTCGCTATACGCTCCAAGCGGTATTCCAGCATCTTCCTGGTCACTCGTCGCGCTGCCTTAAACATGGCTTATCAGGTGCGTCTGTACGCTACCATCAACAGTATTTTAAACGGTTCGATTTTTTGATAATGCCAAGGGACATAGTCTTATTAAACGGCCTTTTCCTGCACTTTCTAAAATTGTACTTTAATCTGAAGTCTGTATCTGAAGGCGCAGGACTCCTATATGGTGAAACTAGTGATACGAATTTGGAGTGTGCACGTTGAGCCTGTTTGATTTGGGTCGAGGCTTACCGGGTGGAAGTGTCTGGACCAAGAGTCAACGGTTCTGGGCGTTTTCGACTCTTGTGTTTTTCAGCCTTGTAGGGGCTGTGAGACCTATGCAGGCCGACGACCTCTAGGCCAGCTAAAACAGGGCAACTGCGCGGTTGCCTCGCGGTAAAAAGTTTGGTAAATGCACAAGAATGTGCAAAAAAGACGAAGTGCGAAGTAACAAGGATGCTAGGCGTATTTACATTTTTATCACTGTCATGAGCTTACGTGTGATGATTGCGAACAGCTTTGACGCATTCACGCCGGTAGTAGTCGCTTCTGAGGCCTTTACGGCAAAGGACAATTAGCTTGAACCGACATGTCTTTTACAGAGTATGTCCAAGAAAGTGTTAGTCAAATAGCATGCGCAGTTGTACGAATTACATCTCTGGTATTAACATCGTCGCCTTTGCTCTTCTTCTTCTTCTTCTTCTTCTTCTTCTTCTCTGATGAACATCTTATGTTATATTTAGTGATAAGGCATGCAGCTGTAGGGGATTTTTCTTTACCACCCAGTCTTCTTAGCCGTTTGATGGCATCCCATAGAATATCGCGAATTCTTGTCACCAAATTAGATCAGTCACAAATAGCCTTCTGATAATAGGATGAAATTGTATTTGTAAAAGATCCAGGCCTCTCGAACACGGTTGATTGCCTTTTGTTTAACGGCTATCCTGCTGTTTTCCTAACACATGACGCCCTCTTTTTATTTATTGTTTCGGTCTGTGGACCCCTATATACATCCCTTAAATTAT